GGAACATCTGGAACTCCCACTCTCCCAATAATGCATGCCGACATCACAGGTGGTGTCTTAACATACTGAGTCTCAACATTGACCCCCTGAAATGTACTTTGAAAGAACACACCCATATAGACAACCCCTGTATATTCTGATGATCACCTTTGCTCCATTAAAAGACACCACAGATTGTTCCAGCAGATTGAAATGTCCTTACATCTGAAGAAGTACTGTCATCAGAGGAAGTAATATCTCTTAAACAGGTGACCTTCATAACTGTTTTGTGGAAACTGGGACCCGGAAGCATCTATTTCTTGCTGCAGTTTCTAGTCCTTTGTATGACCTTTGCCCTACATTTAGGCCTTTGTGGTACCCAGAGATGGCAGAACTTCTGGCCTCACACCCAGAGGCAGCACCTGAAGCAGTGATTTAAGGAGTCACCCTCTTTGGAACAGGGGACTCTTGATCTCAGTGTAAATATCCTCTCACAGGACTGGCTAGAATTGGTTAAGGACTCTTCTGAAATCAACCACAGTCAGGAAAATGGGACAGACCACCTTTGGACTTGATTCTGAAACTGGGGATGAAAGCCCTTTCGCCTGTTACCTGAAGGTGGGAGGGTGTGTAGGTAGGAAGTGGCAAATAGAAAGGTGTGGAGGTGGGTGGGCTCCTGACCCAAGCAAAGGAAGATGGGGCTTGTCAGGGTGGTTAAATGATTGGGTCTGCTGCACTTGCCCTGAGCGCCACTGTCCTAGCCATTCGGGGATCCTCCCCTAAATCAACACTTTCACCCTCTGCAAGGTAACAAGCAGCTCTTCTGATGGCCCAGAGCCCACAGGAGGTGCCAAGTCCTCGGCACCTTTCAGCAGCACGGCTGTTTGCTGTAGGTAACACCAAGTGTCCATTGTGGGAAGCTTAACCAAGAGTCAGGAAAGGTGGTGCTATGGGAGGGAATTTTTAGCTAGGAATGCTGACAAAGCCAAGAGAACACTCCATGAACAGTAGCATTTAAGCCATAATCTGGACTGTTGACCTTCCCTCAGATAAGACAATACAGACAGCACATGTAAAACATAAAGGAATACTGGTGTGGCTTGGCGCTTTGAAGAAGTTTTAAGCTTTGCTTGAAAGAAAAAGTTCAATTTTCAAATGATTGGCTTACAAACTTTATGCTTTTACTTTTCTTCTTATCCTGTTTCTTTTTACCTGTTTTCGATTTTTAAGAATGAACATATTTTCTTTTATGTTGCAGAAGTAAACTACTTGTTCTTTGGGAAAAAAAAAAGATGTATATTTTACTTCTAATTTAAGATAGTATAGGAAGGTCCCGGCACGATAGTGTAGTGGTTAAAGTCCTCACCTCGAACGCCCGGGATCCATATGGGCGCTGGTTCTAGTCCTGGCAGCCCTGCTTCCCATCCAGCTCCCTGCTTGTGGCCTGAGAAAGCAGTCAAGGACGACCTAAAGCTTTGGGACCCTGCATCCGTGTGGGAAACCTGGAGGAGGCTCCAGACTCCTGGCTTTGGATTGGCTCAGGTTCAGCCATTGCGGCCACTTGGGGAGTGAACCATTGGACAGAAGATCTTCCTCTCTGTCTCTCCTCCTCTCTGTATATCCATCTTTCCAATAAAAATAAAGAAATCTCTAAAAAAAGAAAAAAAGATAGTATAGGAAATTCCTACCTCAAATAATAAGTCTGATGGTCTCTTTTATAGTAATTGAAAATAAAGCAACTTTATTTGAATCAGTCAAAACCAATCAAGACTGGGAACAATTTGGTTCAGATTTATGGGGAAAGCACTCAGTGACATCTTCATTAAAAGGCATTTTATATTTATTAAGGCTGGAAAGCAAGTACTGTTATTTCATCAGCACAGTTAGAGGGCTCGAGAAACTCAAGAAGCCATCGTGAAGTGCTTGTTCTTTTATAAAAGCTGGGCATCATTAGCTGGCTGAATGAACGCTCTAGCTTATACAATAAGACAACCAAGCAGCTAAGAGAGTAAGATCAATTCAAACATCAGTTGGGTATGTTATATGTTAAATATATGCATAGTCAACATTGTGAAATCTCTAACCGTGCACAAAATATCTCAGGTGATTTTATCCTTAAAACTATGCTTTCCCAAAACTCAAATTGTTTTTTATAGAAATATCCATACTATAGAATGCTGAACTGTTTGCCACTCTCTGTTCCCGCAATGTCAGGATGCACTTAAATAGCAGGATGATGAACTTATGACTGCTTTCGAAGGACTATACTATTGTAATAGTATGGTGGAAATCAGTTGGCAGGGAGAGGACTTGGGGAGGGACTGAGAGAACTCCCAGAGCCTATGGACTAGTATCATAAAATTAAAAATAAAATAGAAGGATAAAAAGAAAATGGGGGAAATATTGAAATATTGTATTTATCTTTGGTTAGTGAGGAGGTTGGATCTATTTCTTTAAATGGCATTAAATACACTATGAAATCTTGAGATGGAAGTCTTCTGAGACTATCCTGGTCAAAGAAAGCTGTGTGTGCCCAAGGGTGCCCATGCTAGGTTTGAGTGGTGAAGCAAGGGGCAGGCTACAAGTCTGTGGGCAGCAGCTCCCAAAGCCAAGATGTTGTCACTTGGGTCCTCCTCTTTAGGATCGGAGAGTTCCAGGTACATACTTATTTCTCCAATATTCTCTTAAGAGTCTTCTTACCTTCATGTAAAATAGGAAGCAGTCCCTTGGGAATCTTTGACCTTGGTTATAATTGTGAGTTGATGTTTTCTCTCTTTCCAAAGAGGAGAGTTGGGCCGCTGGGATGGCTCCTGGTTTATGGGAGTGAAGGGAAATTACTGGAGGACATGGTGGATGCCCACCGTCTCCAGAACAGTTTTGTTTCAGTCACAGATGCTCACAGTGAGGGATACCCAACACTTCCTGTCATTGCTGTTTGTTCAAACTTTTCTGATTCCTGGGACTCTAGCAAGAAGTCAAGGACTACTGTAGGTGTGATCCATCTTGTGATGATTCCAAGATAATGGCGATGTTTGTCCTCTCAATGGTCATAAGGTTTAGGGGGGCGTGAAGAGCTTCTACTATTTCACTGGACAAGTGCCCAAATGTGTCCTAGGCAGTCTCATTCCTGGTGAGGTCTTTTTTATGTTTTCATATCTAGTACAAGAAGGGGACACCAAGGACAGTGCCATTTCCTTGGAAAGGGATGCTAGTTTGGGACCTTGGGGCCAAATCAAGCTGTATTTCCCAGATTTCACCTCATTTGGTACTAAGCAAGCTGTGTAGCCCTTGTTTTACAAGAAGACAGTCCTACTTGTAACTGTGATTCTAACTTCATTTGATATTTGACTTCCTTTGTCAGGAGATAGATTTTGCTTTGGATCAGCTGTGACTTTACTCACCCAACTCATCTTTTGTAGTTATTAACATTTTAGTTCTGAGCTAATTTAAGTAGTATGCAGTCCTGAAGAGATGAGTGAGTTCAATTCTACAATTCTGAGCTTGATTCTTGTTTCTGCCTTTGTCTCACACTACCTCATTTCACAAAAAAATAGTGATGGATGCCAAAGGGGAGAAATAATTACGAAAGAAAACAGGAGCTCAAGAAAAACAAATACTGGGATCAGAATTCACCTGGGACCCATGCTGCAAATCCTTCAATTCTTCCTGATTTGGTTCTTGGGACAACTAAGGACCTCATCACAGTATCTGGGAAATGTTGCACTGTGCACTTAACCCAGTGATGGCCAAAGCCAAGCAAGACTGAAAGATCCTGGGTGGGGGGAGGAATCTCTTCTGAAAAGAAAAAAAAAATAAATTGAAAGTATTAATATTCTTTTAATATCCTGTGATAAATCTGGTTATAAAACAGCGTAACTCTAATAGTCTGTTGCCTTAGATGATATTTCTGAAGTACACAGAAACATCTTCCTCCTTTTATTTCTCTCCCTCTTTTAAATGGTTATGACTGATCATGTAACACCCCTACCCTATGCCTTAATAGTGTTATTTATGCCAAACTAGCTCAACTCCAGAAAGGACATCTGGAAACAACTGTAATGATTAGATCTAGTCTGCTTTGGGACTCACCAAGAGCTGGGTTTTTAATATCAAGGCAGAGCCCTGAGGACTTGGACTCTCCTCTGGGATAGCGTTACCCTCCAGGGATCTTTATTCTGTGAGCTGTGCTTCACGTGTGAGCTTCAAAAACAACTCACTTGCGGATCTCAAACATGTCAGCTGCCTTTCAGGTCCTCCGGCATGGGTCTGATGGCCTGGGAAGATTTCTGAATGAAGCATGTGACTTCACACTAATGAAGAAGCTAAAACGCCGTCGGAATCATTCCGACCTGCATTCTCACGGGCTGGTTGGAGCTTTTCCCTACAGTGAAACGACTGTTGCCTCACCAGGTCTCCTTGTTAAGATTCCCCAGGGGCCAAGTTTCCAGGGAGACTGTGGAAAGATTCCTTTAGTGAGGGAAATGAATCAACTCATTCTGCCCTTTCAAAGCTCTCTCTAGGGCTCATAAAATGTCCTACTGAGAAATTTCCTCTTCCTCAGTGGGTTGAAGGAGACCTCCAGCTTCCTGTCCTCTGGTTTGATCAATGGATCACTTATTTCCTTCAGAGATCCCTGGAGGCAGGTGGGTCCAGGCATTGCTTGAGTTAGTTTGTTGATGTTTCTATGGAAAGGACCCGTGCTGTCCTGCCCTCGCTGAGAAATGAGCCAAGTCCAGGGCCTTTCCGGCACTTGGGAACCTTCCCCTCTACCATGCACGAAGCAACACAGAAGGGAGAATGTTTGCAGGTGGGGCCCTGGCATGGATGGCTTTCCTCACAGGGCGTTCACCAGGAGAGGGAGTTGATGATTGGTTCATTTTTCTTATTTTCCTCTTCATATGTCCCATGAAAAGGCCAGGAGAGTTTGTAAGGAGTTGAGTCAAGGAGAATGACGAAGGAGTGAAATATTAGCTAAGAAAAAAATTTTTTTTTTTCAATCTGGCAGTTGAATCTTCTTTCAAGTTCAACCACATGGTTTCCCAGTCAGATAGTCCCCTGGACTTTCTTCCTCAGGTGTGCCATGACTGTGCCATTTGCCTACTGTGTCTCTGCCATCAATATCTGCAGCTGGGTCAGCCAGGGGAAGCCCTGAGAGTACCCAATCCGCAGACTCATATCCAGAAGCAACTATGAGACATTGAGAAGCTATTTTTGGCCAATTGTTGGGGCTTTGTAGTAAGACTGGTAGTTAAATCATACCATTGGTCCAAGATTTAGTTAGATCATGAAAGAAAAGAACTACCTGAAAGCTTACCGGGGAACAAGAAATTTTATAAAGAAACCATTTGTTTTCACCCATCTTTCTCCTCACCCCCCACCTGCTTTCTCCTAGACTAGAAACCACTCATGACCACACACAGTCAAAGTCAGGGGTATAATCCCCAATCACACTACTCCTAAACAAGCAAACTCCATGGCTGATAGACCCTGTGGGCCTTTTGGCATCAACATTGCTCCCCTCATCTCCCCTTCCCAGTCACCCCAGGTTAGAACTGCCTGTCTATTTATGTTCTGGCATGGCCTGACCAGCATAAATGCCAAGGTCAGCATTGGCCAGGTACATAACAGCATTTCAGCTTTCTCAGCAGTCCAACAAGTGGACAGGGTGCCAATCTCAGCTTCAGTGCCCAATGACAGGAGTGGCAGAAGTAGGGAGTGACTGAAGATATGCTTCCTGGACATCCTTATCGGCCAACTCAGTCCTTCATTCACTCTGTCTTCTTTAGTAAGGCAGGAATCTTTTTCTAATAAGAACTAAGAGGACATTTGTCCTTGGCCATGCGATGACCGACAAAGAGGAGGGTGGCAGAGGAGTTGGTGTTGCACATTTCTAAAGCATCTGAGATGATATTTTGATATTGGCAGAAGGGGCTAGTGACAATCCCTAACACTGCACCCCAATACAGAAAACCCGAATCAAACCAGCAGGTTTAGTAGCTGCCAGCTCCTGTCCTTTCTGCTTGCCAGACTCCTGAATGATAAGGCAAGGGATGGGTGCTGGGTTTCTTAAAAGATCATGTGCTGGAGTATGGGTGAGGTCATCAAGATGAAGCCTGATGCAAAGAGAAAAATACAAGGTTTTCTGAGGCAACGAGGAAGCGGGGCCTTGGAGCTGGAGTCCTTTGGGGGCAGTTGAGTTCTTCTGCAGCAGGGACAGAGCTGGGTGGTGTTCAGGATCGGCTGAGGCGCTTGGCGACATCTGCATAGGCCAGCTCAATCTCAGTGTCAGCTGCACAGGTGTTGGTGAACTCGTCCCGGGCGTAGGCATTTTTCAGGTACCGCCACAGGCCTGTCATCTCAGCTGGGAGGTCATAGTTGCGGTATTTCTTGGCCACAATCTAAAGAAAGAAATGGCCCAAGATGATGTGAAGACATAAAACAAACCATCAGATGGCATTTGAGGACATGGGTATGCATAGCAGGAAAACTCTACGTCTCATTGATGGGCCATTGATAAAACTATATAAGGCAAGGTGGCAGTGCTGCCTTCATTTTCTTTCCTTTTTTTTTTTTCTTCATTTACTTATTACATAAATTTGATTTGCCTTTTGGTCTAGTGACTCCACTACTAGGAATTTTTCCTAAAGCAATAGCCATGGATCTATACAAAGGTTTCACTACATAATTAGGATTACAGCCTTATACTGATTAGCAGGTACACAGCATCCATGTCTGTGAATCAGGAAATACACGATCATACCCACCTATGGGGTACCTTAAGAAGTTGTTAGCAAAGATAAACTATTACTTTCAAAGCTCATTATAACACATTTGCAGAAATATATTTGATGACCAGAAGTAGTTGTTACCAAACAGAAGAGTGCCAGAGATTACATATGACTGTAGAATTACAGATAATTTTGCTTCTTCTTTTCCTTTTTTGCTGTATGTAGCATTCTCACTTATACAAGGAAAAAGAAATCCACAAAAAGTAAGTTAGATATTGGAATGCTCATGTTATGGTGTGAGGGTGAGCAAATAGAAGCTTCTGTTCTTTCCTGGTTTGTTATACTCATACACATATTTCTCCTCTAGTAAGGAGAATTCTGGAAGCATGGTGGTTAAGAACATTAGCTCTAGGTCTCCGAGGAGAGGATTTGCAGTCTTGACTCCACTTAAGAGCTGTGAAAGCGTGGAGAGGTTACCTAACCTCTCTGAGCCCCAACTTTGTAATCTCTAAATTTTAAGTAATAACAGGACCAATGTTGGACTAATAAATTAGTCAACATCCATTAAAAACTTTAGAGGAGAAACTGGCAGACTGAGTGCTCAACGGGCATTCATTGAGATCCAGCCACACCCATTTGTAAGTATTCTCTTCACTGGAGGGGGAAGGGCTGTGCCTTGAATGAGACCTGTCAGCCACAGCAACTTCTTGGACATGTGACCCATGCAGTCTCCCTGGGCCTTGTGCTCAGAAGGCCCTGCTCTTGGTTTAATGTTCTGCTGTCAACGTGTGGAAATTCTTAATAAATTTTTAACAAGGAGCTCCTTGTTTTGGCTGGGCATAAGGGCCTGCGTATTAGCTGGTCCTGCCTCTAGCCATTGGGGGCTGGGGTGGGGATCCTAGAGAGAAATTTCACCTCTGAGGTTCTGACTGCCGACTCCCACCCTTGTTTTCTTTTGCAGAGAGGGACCCAGCCCATAGGGGCAGAATCCTCTCTCTGTGAGAACCCCAAGATCAGCACCTTTGGGCTTTTTGCTTCGGTGTGGTGCCACAGATGTGTGCAGTTTTCCAGAACATGGTACTGGGTGGAGATTAGGATGCCCTATGCATATGCTCAGACTTACGTCCAAAGACCCCTGTAGGATGCAGTGTTTCCCTTCCATATTCTTATTATGGCTTTGAATTTCTGTGACAGCTCTGAGCTCTGTTCTGTTCTGAATCACAAAGACCACTTTAGCATCCTGAATCTCCCTCAGTAGCTTGTAAATAGTGTGTAAGGATGGGAGCCACAGCGTCTTCACTTCCGCACAGTGCAATCATCTCAGTCACAATGTTGATTCAAGAGATAACAACAACAAACATCTCTTCCCTGTGTGCCCTTGTTCCACATGATCCTTTACGCACATCGCAAGATAAAATACTTAAATCTCTTAGCAGCCCATTGGAGAGAAGTCTAGTATACCCCTTTTGCAGGTGAAAAAGTAAAGCATAGAGAGAATGATGAGCAGGGATTCAATAAATAAGCAGTTGTGTTTAATCTTTTTGATCTTCAGTTGCATGGATACCAGACAAGGTGTATCTAGTGCTTAGTGTAATGAAATTCCCTAATTTTCCACTGGAGAATCTTGGCCCTGAGCAAATGGAACCTACAAGAGAGTAAGTGACTCAAACAATGGGATGCCTGGATATTGATTCACTGTTAATTACTGAGTAATCACTCATATGTATTCCAGTGCCTGCTTCCCCACCCACACTTCTCACTCACCCCTTGAGTGCCCATTCTTGATCCATTACAGCTGATCTCCAAGCCCACCCTCGATTGGCTTCTGTGTGATGGTAGGGCTGAAGATCACACCCCTGCATTGCCAGGGAGGCCTGACAGGCTCCACCTAGATGAGTACTAGAGTGAGCCTGCAAGGCTGCAGGAAAAGGGGGAAGATGCCCTATCCTGTCAGTCTGCAGTTCTTGCCAGAAGCAGCTGCTGAGTCCAGGCTGCCAACACTCATGAAGCCAACTTCATCACATCTGCTGGAGAAGGCCAGCACAGGGCAGGGAGTCTGCTAATGAGATGGGAGTCTCAGCTGACTGATCCTTCCTCTGACTTTGAACCCCAGCGGCTAGTGGAGCAGCACTCCTACCTCAGGGACCCCAGGCTCAGCTCTCCAACATGCCTCATCTGCCTGGCTCCTGTGTTTCCAAGTTTTCCTAATTCTAACCTCTTTCTTTTTCACTTTCCTTGTTCCAGGCAAAGCAACTGCCTCCTTCAAATGGAAACTAGTGGGACATTGTTGCCTTTTCAGTTTTTTGGGTCATAACACTTTTCACATTAAATTTTCTCAGTTAAGATAACTGGAAGCCACTCCCAACAGTGTTCTGTCCAACTTCGATGTGACTATCAACCAAAGGTGATGGACCAGGGTTCTTCCAAAGAGCACCCAGGGTCAATGCCAGTGTCAACAGACACCACCAGTTTCCCCCAGTCTCCACTGTTTGCTGCAAAAAGAGAATGCCTGAGATTTGTCCTAGTGCCTGTCTTTGCTCAAGAGCAAATTTTACACAGGCAGGATAGCCAGGCCAGGAGAGCTATCTGGAATTTTCCAGAAGATATGAAAGAAGTTCACAGGTAAATGCAGAAATCTATCAAACTATTTAAATAGATCTATAAATACAACTATATAGATATAAACTTATTTCATATAAATTTAAATAGATACATATTTATCTAAACTGTCTAAGTAGATATATAAATATGCCTACTGGTTGGTAGAGCATATCCATGCTGAAATTTTGTTTTCAAGTTTTTTAGTAGCATAGAAAACTTTAAGACAGTGGAAATTTAATGTTTAAGTCTGTGTTTTTGTGTTTGGCTCTCTCTTCCTATTGGTCTCAAGGGCTGAATGTGGTCACTGTGCTAGGCCAAGGTGCCAGTGTCACCACACAAGGCCAGCTGAGGCCCTTCCTGCTGATACCCATGCACTTGGGCCTTGGTCACAGAGTGGATTGTTTCTTCATTGGCTTGACTTGGGGAGAACCAGAAGGGAGCCAGACTATGAAAGTTCAAACTTGGCTCTCGGTGAGGGCCCACGTCAGAGCATCCCAGTGTTCGTGGATGAAGATGAACCTGAATGTGAGCCAAGAAAACACACAAGAGCTTGACGGCAGACAGTAAGGATGCACTCATGTGGATCTGACATTCACAGGATTTTCTGGCTCACATTCGGAATTTGCTCTTTCATATGAAAATAGTTAGCTCCTACGGCCCAGATTCAGTTTTGCTGTGTGAAGCCAAACTGGAGGCCCAAGTTGTCTCCCCCTTTGATTTCTCTGCACTGTGAGGCTTGCTAGGTCCCTGGAATCTGATAAACTGGATCAGCAGAAATCCAAGGAGATATTGGAAGAGCCCCAGCCTTGGTTCCTTCTTTCTGATCCTCAGCTTCTTCAAGTGCACAATCCACTGAACTTTCTACATGGCTAGGGTCTTAACTTATCCACTTAGTTCTGGAAAGAGGCGAAGAAGTCCTACAGTGATGCAGCAGGCCTGGGAGATCAAATGGCTCTAGAGTAGACGCTCAAAGCATGCTTGTGATGGAAGGGAGGGAGGAAAAAAAAACAAAACAAAACTGTAATCCACATCCTTTCTTGTAGACATCACAAACATAAATTCCAAAGAAATCAAATGATTTACCCTAGCACAGGCTGCTAGTTGGTGGCAGATACAGAACCAGAACTTGGGCCTCTTGGTTATGTCATCTGATACAACATGATTGAACTGCAATTATGTCATCTCTGAGGAACTACTTATTCCTCAGAGAAAAGAAAATAATGGAGGCTTTGGGGGTGGGACATGCAGTAATCATAGCTTCAAAGAGACATAGCTTGACTAGACCTATAAGTGACCATTGGCATGTCCTCCAACCCCTAGTAAGTTCAACCTAACAGGCTGTATTTGCCCAATCCATCAGTACATGATTTCTTCCCAAATTACATCTCTGCTAAAGGCCCATGAGAACATCGGTGCACATATCGCTGAATGCTCTCAGCTCAAGCTGGAGTGTCCCTCTGATTGGAGGGAAGCCTAAATTTTCAGTTCCATGTTTCAGCTGGAATAACAACAACAAAAAAAATTTCATGGAATGGAAAATAATTGGATCTCAACAATAGATACACTAGGAGATGAAGCAATCGATGGATGAGTGTTTACTAAGGGGTCATTATGCACCCACTCTCACAACTTGGAGAAGGCCTCGTCCTCACAGAGTGTGTTGCCTCACTGACATACAGCTACAGACAAGGGCACAAGCACAGAGCAGTATGGTGAGAGAACCTCATTTTGTTTCTCTCTAGGCTGGTGAAGGTCAGGAGGAGATGTGTTAATTTAGAAAACGGAGGGATGTACAACAAGTGTCTTCAAACGAGATGGAGAGCAGAGATGCTCTTTCTTGCTCCAGAGAACACATAGGTGAGTGGGAGTAGTTCATAGATCCATGTAATGAGAGTGTTGTAATAATCAGCTTGTACATCTTTTTGTCCTTTTCTCTGTAAATCTGACTTTCCAATAAAAATAAATAAAGCTTTGGAAAAAAATAATCAACTTGTACAAAATGGTAGGAGTGGTGTGTCAGGCAACGAATTCCTTATCATCAAAAACGAGCAATCACAGCTCCACAGTCTGCTGCAGACAGAGCAGAAAGCCATGGGGCAGGAGACAGTGGGTACGATCTCTAACTTCCATCCACCCTAAGGATAATTGTGAGTGAGACAATGACATTGTGCATTGCAGGTGGTCAGTGAGTGCAATGGCAGTAAAAAAAAAAAGTGACATCATGGGCCCAGAGCGATAGTGTAGTGGTTAAAGTCCTCACCTTGAACGGCCGGGATCCCATATGGGCACCGGCTCTAATCCCAGCAGCCCTGCTTCCCATCTGGCTCCCTGCTTGTGGCCTGGGAAAGCAGTCAAGGATGGCCCAAAGCCTTGGGACCCTGCACCCATTTGGGAGACCCCGAAGAAGCTCCAGGCTCCTGGCTTTGGATTGGCTCAGGTTCAGCCATTGCGGCCACTTGGGGAGTGATCTTCCTCTCTGTCTCTCCTCCTCTCTGTCTTTCCAATCATAAATAAATAAATAAATAAATAAATCTTTTTTTTTTAAAGTGGCATCACATCTTGCAGGCTCTATTTCTCCAACTGGACAGCTGAAGAAGACGTACATACACTGGGGGTTGCTACAGGAAGACAGGCCTGTGCTCCAACTGGGCATGGAACTGCTGGTGTGTCCAATAGAGGTGGGAGAATAGGTCAGTGGAAACCTATGAGGAACAGACCTTTAGGGAACAAGACCAATGTTGGCAACTAGTTTATTTTGAACCCCTACAATGTGCCAGGGACATTCACACTACATCTACTCTCCTAGTAAACCTAGAATACACTCTACATGCCTGTTTTACAAATGAAAACCAAATCTCAGAGGGGCTAGAGAGCCAACAAGCAGTGAGGCCTGATGGTAGAGCACTATTTGTCTGAATTCAGACACCAGGTTTTGAACCCTAGCTGCTACCGTCCTTAACTTGAACGCATGGGTGATAAGCATATATCTCACAAGCAAGTGTTGGTGGATAGAGCCTTCTCACCTTGACCACATGGAGTTTGGGCAGCAGATTGCAGTCAGCCAGGGTCAGCTCATCTCCATCTAGGAACTTGCGTCGGGACCCCTTGTCTTCATCCCCACGCATGTTGGCGTCGATCTCCTCTGGCAGAGGCGTGTTCAGGTAGTCATCCAGTTTCTTCAGTGCTTTGGTCAGGCCTCTCTCAAGGGCTAGCATGGGGTAGCAAAAGAAATGCCTTTAGTTAACTGTTTGACACTGGGTCCAATCACAGTTCTTCGAGCACAGTGGCTCCTCTTGAAGCTTGCCCTCCCATCACATTGCCGACTCACCAAATACAACAGAACCTCAGTGGCCTTCACCTGGACTAAGGACAAAGATGTTAAGAAGCAACCACTAACCAAATCAACTAACCTTAAATAATCCTTTAAAATATATATATATATACACACACACATACTCAAAGGAACTTCAGTGAGTGTGTGGCAAAATAGAATTAAAAGCATCATTTCATTGTGATAAAAACTGCTATAATTCTTTTTTTTACTGATTCATGGAAAATGTGCACTATGAAAAATCATATCAGTTTTTAACTTTTTGTTCAAAACAACAAACTCCTACTTTAGCTTCCATGAATCTTTTTGTAGCACATGTGTGCTTGTGTGTGTGTAGAAATACAACAATTAGGTTATATGTCAAAGTTTTCTTCATGTCTCTCTTCAGCAGATGCAATAATAATAGACCAACTTTGGTTTTCTTATTTTGCACATCACTATTTTGTTGCAAACCTAAGATGAACCCATAAATTGATTTTGCAGAAATAAATATCTATTGAATAAGTAGATAAGACCCATATAGATGTACTAGGCTGAAGACAGTCTCCAGTTTTCTCTGAAAGCATTAACCATGCCTACCTCCTCCTGAGAATGGCAGGAACAAGTCCTACAGGAAATGACGCAGGAAAGAAAGCAGGCTCCGTCGATGCAGCCCCCAAAAAAGCAGTGAGCACCAGGAGTCACACTTAGGTTTAATGCAGAGAAAGTTCTCTAAAACTCAGAACTGTTGCAAATGGAAGGAGCAGGACACCAGACAGCAAGCTCCACTGGGAGAAGGCAAATACAGCTGTGTGGAGACCTGCCACAGATGCAGCTCCAAGTAAGAAGACCCAAAGCAAATCTTGTCCCACTGATCATCCACCAACTTATTCATGAAGACACATGAGCAGAACAAAACACCCAAAAGGATAACTGTGGGAAGTCACTGTCACTCGCATCGTAGCCTGAACATAAAAACTTTCCGTTTGAGGGTGGAAGTGCAGTGGTGTAGACAATGACTGGCTGGGCTGTTGCCCACTGCCTGTGTGTCATCCGCTCCATCTCTGGTAGCTGTTTTTCCATGCTCTGGTTTTGACATTGAGACCCTGACATTGAGACCCTGGGAGTTGATCTTGACGTTCACTTGAGCAGATGCAAGGGTGATGTTGCTTTCCAGAGGAAAGGCTGAGAGGATCACATTGTGGTTCAGGTTTTCCCAAATGGGCCTTCCATGAGCCACTCCTCACATAACTTGCTTTTCTCTTTTCATAGAAGAAAATTTGTACTAGACAATGGAGTGACACCAGCCCAAGAGAAATCAATGGAACGCTGACTGGAATGCTTGAAAGACAACTAGAAGTTCCTTCTCCCCGGTGTGGCATTTGAACTCGTGCTTCACCATCTGCTTTGTGTTTCCAGTTTGGAAGAATGGAGCAAGCAGGGCTGGGAACAAGGCTTGAATTCCCCTTGGTGATTGTCTAGACAGGGGTGGGATTATGAGACCATTCAAGGGCAATGGTAGAGGGTGGGTACTAACCAATACTTATTACGCTTCTCTCCCTGGAGCACTTGTGATTTATACTGTTTACTTGCTTAATCAAATCTCTCCCTCCTTCTCAGTTATGACAATTATGGAACTTTTTATCATAATGGAGAAAGGAAAAAAATTAAAGAGAATATGTTAAAATTTGACCAAGTAGCAACATTCAAGGGCTATGCCAAAAAAACAAAACACACATACACACACACACACACACAAAAACAGCGGTTTTCAAAAAAGTTCACAGAATATGCGTATTCTTAGATTTCAAGTCTTAGGCATCAAGATGAACTTACATTTTTAAAGAGATTTATTTATTTAGTTGAAAGGTAGAGTTACTGAGAGAAGGAGAGACAGATGGGAGATCTCTTATCCACTGCTTCAATCTTCAAATGGCCACAATGGCTGGGGCTGGGCCAGATTGAAGCCAACAGTCAGGAGATTCATTGGGATCTCCCTCTTGCATATAGGGGCACAAGTACCTCGGCCATTGTTTGTCACACTCCCAGGCATACTAGCAGGAAGCTGCATTGAAAACATAGCAGCTGGTACTTAAACCGACATCCTTTTATAATGGCTTAACTTCTTGCACCAAAACAGCACCCTTAAATGCTATTTTTCATGAACATTTTTTTTAAAGATTTATTTTTATTATTTTTTCATTGGAAAGGCGGATATACAGAGAGGAGAGACAGAGAGGAAGATCCTCCGTCTGATGATTCACTCCCCAAGTGAGTGCAACGGGCCGACGCTATGCTGATCTGAAGCCAGGAGCCTCTTCCGGGTCTCCCACGCGGGTGCAGGGTCCCAAAGCTTTGGGCCGTCCTCGACTGCTTTCCCAGGCCACAGGCAGGGAGCTGGAAGGGAAGCGGGACTGCCGGGATTAGAACTGGCGCCCATATGGGATCCCGGGCGTGCAAGGCGAGGACCTTTAACCACTTGCGCCACCATGCCGGGCCCTTCATGAACATTTTTAATAGGCACAGAGTGTCATATAAGACACCCTAGGTTCTAATCCCAAGAACCCCTAAGGGATCCAAGCCGACACCAGCAAACATCTATTCTCAAGGCCCTGGGACTGGTACTATTATCCTGAGATTTGGTAAAGCAGCCTGAAACAGTGACTGAAGCTTCCTAGAAGATTTGTGAATGAAAGTCAACATGTCTGTAGTGATCCTATGAAATAGGAGGATCAAGTTGGTCAATGCGAGCAAGCACCCTATCTTGTAGGACACCACATGGGTATGTTATATGGATGCTGTCTGGGTATCAGACCCATTGCTTGTGTCTTTGAATCTTTGTTCAGGAATGTGGAAGCTGCAGTTGGTTATAATCACAGTAGAGAGAACAGAAGATGAGGCCATGCAGCCTGAAGCTAACCTGTGTTTAAATCTTAACTTTGCCCAGAGTGGATTTATTGACTGGGTTGCTGAGGCTTAAGCTTCAAGGTCCCTTAATTGACTAGGACTCTTCCAAGGCCTTGAACATGAGTTTTAAATTCCTTGTTTGTACTGACTGTGTTAGCTTCAGACCCCACAAAGTCTTCAATATGCTATTGGGTGATTGGCACAGTGGTTGAGAATGCCCATGATACATATCAGAGTGCCTGGCTCTACTCCCAATTCCAGCTTCTTGCTAATTCACATCCTATGAGACAGCCTTAAGTAATGGCCTGGGTATTTTGGAACCCTGGCATCCACATCGGGACCTGGATTGAGTTCCTAGCTCAAGTTGGGCTTTAGCCTGGTCCAGACTTGGCTATTGTGGGCATCTGGAGAGTAAACCAGCAGACAGGATAGGAGATAGAATAATTCTTCATTTGTCCCTGGTTCTGGCACTTAGATATGACCTTGGGCAAATTTCTTAACTTCACTGGGCTTCAGTTTTCCCATCTCAATAATAAATGATTTTGAACTTAGATGAGAGAAGGGGAGTGTTGGATTCAGTGCCTGCCCCATCCAAAGACCTCAGTCACTGACAGTTACACCCTTGTGTGGCCAAATGTGGTGGTCAACTCGCGATCTGCCCCTCGCCTCATACTTATTCCATCTACTTATAAATGGGATCAGGTTACTCATAACAATTCTGAGGCTCCACAGAGAATGGGAGGTGCGGATGAGCTCCACGTTCCCTTTGGAAAGTAAAGCTACCGTTACTGCTCTTAATGATTTCATGTATGGACCCAGGTCTCTGCCTTGCACTCTTGGGACCGCCCCCCTTGGCGACAAGCCATAGTGAGAGGCATGCCCAGTAGGATGCTGACACAACCCACCTGGGTGCTTAAGCCAGGTCATAGAACCAACTCACAAGTGGCAGCACCCACCCATTCTCTGCCAGCTGTTAACCCTCCTCGTTGCTGACTCATTCCTCTCACCCTGGCTTGACCTGCCATCCACAGAACCCAATGATCTCTTCTGACTGATGGCACCAGTTTGACAGGGATAGTCAAACTTTTTTGCTCTGGTGAGAGGGGTGTGAAAAGCAGCAGAGTAAAAAGATGATGCTAATTTCATGTTTGTATTTGAACCGCTTTCTTCCATGAGCAGCTGCCTGCAGTAACACAGTGCAGCAACTGAACCTGGGACCAAGACACGAGAGACTCGGGAGTGCTAACATTCTCTGACGTGATGGATACCTGGTCCTCTAGCTTTTTTCTTCCCCACTGTGCCTCTCCTCCCAGAAAGATTTATTCTGCACCACACACAGATGCACTGGGCAAGTCTATGATGAGGAAACTGGGGGAATAGTTCATAAATATTCTCAGCCATATGCAAACAATCTCAGATTTATTTTTCTCTTTTTTAAAGAGGAAAAAAATCCACCCATTCCATGATCACTTCCAGATTCATTGAGGTTGATATTACATAAGACCCAATATTGTTTTCTCATCGTAGAGAAATAATGACTTGGAAACGGCAATTTGAGCTAAGAAAATAATATACTCTTACCAGGGCATGGAAGCTGACTAGGAACCAGGGAGCCAGACTCTAACCAGTTTCCAACAAGTCCCTGCATGCATGTCTCTGCTCTGGTCTGCTGGCAGCTCCTTGCTACACAGCTACCAAGGAGCACAAGGCTGGCAGAAACTCAGGAGCTCAGCATTCACGTGGAGAGGAGCAGATGTAAAGGTGATCAGAACAGCTTTGAGGGCCCAGGTGGCCACGCTCTCAGTGTCTCCTGCATGGTGTTTCTCTGGCAGTTACACATGTGGGGAAAGAAGAACTAGACGCCCTGACCGCTGACTGCAGCCTGCATGGGCATCTCTTCCATTATTCCACAGAGGAGGTGGGGAACATTACACACTGGCCCTAGCTCGGCACCCCTGCCCTGATCCATTCCTTCCCTGGTTTTAGTTCTG